GAAGCAGATCCTGCTAAACTATGAGCTTCCTGTGTCTATTTCTGCTGCTAGGCCTATTAAAGGTCCAACAAGTTGCTATCACCAAAGATAATCGTGTTTACACATTCTGGTATAACTCTTCAAACACACATGTAGCTACTTTTACCTTTGATTACTGCGATATTGTTCCTTGTACTTTACCACAATCACAACACTCAGCAATATACAAAGACATACCCAATAGAAAGGACCCATACATTTGTGTGACAGGTGACCATTGGGGACATCATTGTAGTACCTGGAAAGCAGCAGGTTGTAACACAGGCCGACAATGGGGCTACAGACCACAAAGTGCCTTGGATAGGGTGGACAGACATGGGAAACCCTTATTACACAGAATGACCTTATGTAAGCCAACAGGGTCAACCCCAATGAAACTCACCTTAAACATAGAACATCCCAGCCCAGGAGACACTGGAGAGTACGTAATGGGGATGTACTGGAGAGGGGGTGGCTCATATAACAAGTTGGGGACCTTCTATTTACAAGACATGCATACATCACCTGACTGGGTAGCAGGGCCGGACTGGGACCTAAAATCAGCCCTGGAAAATAATTCTATACCAGCCCAATAATGCGTCGCGCCAGCATAGTGTGCTGATAAAGAGGGTGAAAAAATAACTTGAAATTTAAAACTCTTACTCCAACGAAGGAATGCATATAGGGCTTCAAAATAAACAAAAGAGCGCCTTTATTTTAAGTAGACGTACATTTGCATGTAATGTTTCAGTACAACTACTTTGGCCTATTAAGGACATTTTAGTAATGGTACTGAAATGCTGAATGTCTACAGTTGCACAACTAAAAAATGAAGTGATCTTGTTTATTTTGAAGTTCTATGGGTGCGCTCTTCACTTTGAATATGTTATTGTGCATGAGTATGCAACTAGCAACAAGACAGGGCCAATACGTGCTCATTATATATATATATATATATAATGACATATTTAATGACATTTATGTGTGTATTATGCATAAATAAATGTATATTACTATATGTGTAAATATTATAGGCATAATTATATGTTACTAATACACACATCAATATACATGCATATATATATATGTGTGTGTATTACTGTCAGGATCACATCAATTTACGTCTATTACCTTTACCTTGTTTAGTATATCTTGTCTCCAATTGTCTCCTTTTTTTCTCTTACAGCGACCCTTGTGCATCTTTTACTTCATCCCAGTCCCTGTGTGTTTCTCTTTCCCCCAGCCCCTTTTGTGTTGTTCTTAACCCCAGCCACTTTGTCTCTTTCTCCCCTTCCAAATCTCATCTGTGTGTCTCTTTCTAACTCCAGACTCTGTGTGCCTCTTTCTCTTCTCCCAGTCACTCTCTGTCTCTTTTTCCCCAGCCCAGCGTTGCCTCCCACAAATCTTGTGTCACTTTGTTCCCCTTCCCTACTGTATGTCTCTTTGTCCCCCCAACAAACCTTCTGTGTGTCTCTCTTCCCCATCTCCTCCCTGTGTCTCTCTCTTACCCCTCTGTCTCTGTGTCCCCCCTTCTCCTGTGTCTCTCTATTACCCCTCTCTTTGTCCCCCCCAACCTCCTATTACCCCTCTGTCTCTTTGTCCCCCCTTCCCTGGTGTCTCTCTATTACCCCTCTCTTTGTCCCCCCATCCCCTGTCTCTCTATTACCCCATCTGTCTGTGTCCCCCCTTGCCCTATGTCTCTCTATTACAGCTCTGTCTCTTTGTCCCCCCCCAACCTGGTGTCTTTCTATTATCCCTCAGTCTCTGTGCCCCCCTTCCCCTGTGTTTCTATTACCCCTCTATTTGTCCCCCCCATTCCCCTCTATTTGTCTTTTTGCCCCCCTTCCCCTCTTTTTCTCTCCCCCCTCCCCCTCCGTGTCCCTTCTGACCTCGTTACAGGAGGACTGAGGGAGGGGACGGAGCCAATAGTAATCCCTACTCTGTGATGTGTAGATGCTGGGAATTCTGGGAACCGCAAGGGAGCATGGTAGCTAGCTCCGCCCCCTCCCTCAGTCCTCCTGTGCTGACAGCCACATGGCTGTCCGTATCAGTGAGTGTGCTGCTGGATTGCTTAGGCGGCCGCCCGGCACAATCACTGATACTGACAGCTGATACTGATGGGGCCGCCGGCCGCAAGGTGAGTAATCACCTCAGTGTGCCGCCGGACCGGCCACCCGGCGGCACCGACATGCGGCCAGCGGCCGCGATATTATCAGGTGCTGTGGCCCACCGGGAAATTTCCCGGTATCCCGGTGGGCCAGTCCAGCCCGGTTTACAACTATAGTGGCCGTTAAAAACGATCTATAACAATTATTCCGAGATGAATGATATATAAGAGAAACATTCGGTTAGACCCAGAGGTGATCAGGTTTTCAGTTTGTATATCCAAAAACTTTCTCTTTGGAGAAGTTTCTTGTTTAGGTCCCAACATTACTCTTTCTATGCCTGAGAACCGTATTCCCTCTGAGGACCCCCCATGATGTAGTTTCAGATGCTTAGAAACAGCGGTGTCAATCAATCAGTCTCCTCGGATTTATTGAGTTCACATGTTCGCGAATTCTAACCTACCTACATGTAGTTTTTTACATGAATATGTAAGCAGGTGGTCGTCACTGGGCACATGTTTTAGCAGGTTTGTCTAAGATGTTATAATCACTATCCTTATCGTTACTTATCTGCTCCTATGTCTCTCAGTTAGTTTTACAGGTAGAGAGGCTTTTGAATTTAGCCGGTCTTTTTTCGCTGGCATTAGACTCTTTATTTTCTCCCTCTGGCCATACTGTGAACTCTAACTATTGTTTTTTTTTTCTGGTATACGCTGAGATCCAAATATATACCTTTTGATAGCTGCTTGCTACCCCCTATATCTATTATACCCCACCAGGCTATATACAAACATCATGTACTGATACTTCTGGCAGATCCAGTACACTCAGCACAGGGAGGTACCTTGTTAATTAGAGTCTATCAATTGGATACTCAATAGATTTATAGGATAGACCATACCAGACTTATTCTATTATGTACCACTGGATATATGATCTTTGAGAGGTTTTTAACATTGGAAGCCAATCTAATAAAGCTCTCTCTCTGTGTGTGTGTGTGTATATATGTGTATGTATGTGTATATATATCTCTTCTTGGATAAGAGATTTCTAGTGGATATATAACTGCTGCATATGAGCATACTTTATTAGGTGTATTTTATCATTTATATATATTTTTCTCCTTCATTAGTATCATTATTATTTTTTCACCAGTTCTTTATATTCATCCATATCATTAGCTGCAGGTTTTGCTACATTGTGTAGATCTCTACAACTAACTATTTCCAGGTGATACAGCGATCCCTTTACACTTTTTGTGTTGGCTTTCTGTGTATCTATTTGTTTGTATTTTTGTTCGATCTACTATAGGGTTAAGCCCTGTGAGACCCCT